TCACCCACATCTACCCAAACATGTCGACAGCTGTGAAAGTTTAAAAACAATTATGTCTTAATGCAAGTCTCCTGGCATCAATTGGAAGCATTCACTGCTATTCTAAACTGCGTCTAAAGAATATTAATGTTCTTTTTAAAGTAATCTATAATCTATAATAGGTATCATTCGTCATATTCACAAACATTCTTTAGGAATTTGTGAACTATTTTACTTCATTTTCAACCCATACGTTCATCATAATCACTCGCTCACAAACTTAGTTGACGTAAAAATAATATTGGTCCTCAGGTCCGAAAAGAATTGAGCTATCGCAGATACCAGTTAATCAAATGAATTTTCAAGGTGCTTAACTGAACAATAAAGAATGCTAACCTCTCATGAACGACTTGGAAAAATACTTGTCGGTACACAACTATGTGCTTACCTTAGACACATCGGATCTAAAAAGTCTCTGAAATATCTCAGAAAACACGGAAAGTGATGATTCATTAGAGAAAAGAAAACTGAAAGTATCTTTCAAAAGGAATTCTTCTACATTTTGGTCCTCAAACTCCATATTATTGTTATCTTGAAAGTGTAAATGCTCATGTACCTTGGAAAGAAGAAAAACACAGCAAATATTTTCATTGAACGTCCTTTAAAGTGGAATTACTTCTAAGACGTGATTTATTTGGTGCTGGATTGTAGATCAGAACTGACACCTAGTGGTCTTGTTGGAGGTCAACAGTTTTATAAATGTGAGTAATGAATGTTCTTTAAAAATATTTCACATTGTATATGAAAACACCACACTGTACCCCATGGTTGCATTAAGGTACACAGTTATGATTGAATAAAAAAAGAAAAAATACAATTAAAGATACAATTCTTTTAGAACAGTATAAACTGACTGACTACTATATAATATGTTCCTGGAAGATAATACAGACCATTTTTTCAGAACATTTAAGAAGTTATAAAGCAAACTACTAGAAGTGTGCAAAGTAATAAAGAAATAACT